GTGAGCTACCATTCTTGGATTGCTTAGTAAAAAGAAATCCAAATGGAAGTCTAAACTTATCCATTTACCGAAAGCCGACGCATTCAAATCGTTATATTGACTTCCATTCAGCACATCCTTTCAGTGCTAAGATCTCGCTAGCCTTAAATCTTTTTAGAAGAGCTAACAAGATCATCACATCAGAGGAAGACAAACGAAAAGAACAAATGAATATAATTAGTACCTTACAATTTAATAATTTTCCTATGAAGATTATTAGAAGCATATTAAAACAAAACAATTTATTACATTATAATAATGTTTCGAATGAAATGCCATGGATTGGTACTGTAGTTCTACCATACCGTCATGGCACAACAGAAGAAATTCAAAGAATCTTAAAACACCACAGAATTAAAGTGTATTACAAAACAACGAACACACTACGTAATACTTTAGTTCGCCTGAAAGAAAAAATCCCTTTCATGTCCACACAGAACTGCGTCTACAAATTAGGTTGTATCGATTGTGATGCCTATTATATTGGAGAGTCATCCCGCGAAATCGTGACTAGAGCCAAAGAACATATTAGGTACACAAAGAAACCTCCTAACAATCCGGTAGAATTGAACCAACTTCAAATTAAATCGGCAATAGCAGTTCATGCCATTTTCAACAACCACCAAATCGATATTAAAAATATCAAAATATTGCAAAAAGGCTTTTCCAACTACAAAGAAAGGAGGGTAGCTGAGGCGTTCCACATAATGCTTAATCCTACTTCTCTCAATAGAAAAGAAGGCCTTACCATACACCCTACTTGGACCATCTATCCTAACCATTCAGTCTGATCGTATTTACAATTTCACAAATTTAAACTCTATCCTTTCTTACCATAAAGGTCACATAAGTTTTCATTCTTAAACAATGCACATATACATACACACACAAATTTACATACTTATCACTTATGAATCACCTTGACAGAAATGACATGACATCAACTTGTTCAGACCTGTTTTTTGATTGATCAAATATTATTCTTGCATTGTTCCGTTGTACTATTTAAACTTGGATTAATTTTAATTTGGTTATTTATTCTCTGAAGAAGTGACTTACACTAAGCCACGAAACGTCAGAAAATCCAATTTTCTACTCATTGGGATATTACAAATATATTATTTTTATTTATAACAATCAACCCAATGCTCAATTTATTCGAAATTATCAAATCAAACCTTGGTAATGACACCTACAAACTCATTAATAACCGAATCAAATTATCCAAGTGTAAATGCAATTGGTACAATCACAGAATATTTAATAAACGATGTCTACAAGACAACATCATCCCTAAATCTCTTGTTATAAAACCTCCAGAACGATCCTGGAGATCTATCCAGACTTCTCAACACGCGTCTCGAATATTCTTACGAGAACGCATTCACAAATGCACACACTTACTAGAAAAATATCGTGAACGAATCAAAAACCTTGATGATTTACTGAAGCTTTTAATCCCGATCGAATTACAAACCACGATATCCAACCTGTTTATAGAAAGAGAACTCCACTATTTAAATTCCTCGAAACACCGACAAATTAAAAAATTCGAAAACATCAAAGAAAAGAAGAAAGATAAGAAAACATCAACAATAAAATACAATTTGAATAATCTAAGAACAGTTCATAATCTCTCCAACAGAAACTTAAACAGTCACGAAATCACTCTACTGGAGAAGGGATTAAACTTCAATTTACACAGAAAACCACTTAGCACTCTTGAAATCGCTCCGATTATAGAACCTATGATCGCACAACTACCGGAAAAAGAGTCGCATTTACTACGTCAAAAGACATCCCATATTCTGACGAAACAAAAACACATTACCCCAAACATTTCAAAAGAAGAATTGAAGGCTCTGAATTCACTTAAAAAAGATAAAACAATTATCATCACTAAAGCCGACAAAGGCAACACAACAGTAATCATGAATAAAACAGATTATATTAATAAAGCTCTTGAACATCTCTCAACAGGACCTTATGAAAAGATCAATCCAAAAACTTCTCTAACGATTAAGAATAAAGTCAAATTAGAAACAAATCAACTTCTGAACGAGCTAAAACCAATCATTGGGGTTCCGCTTTGGTTTGCTTTGCATCCCAAATCATGTAATGTCTCACGGTTTTATGGCTTACCAAAAATTCATAAACCAGATATTCCTTTAAGACCAATAGTAGACTTCACAAACACCCCAACATATGCACTATCGAAATATTTAAGCAATATATTAAAACCATTACAACTCAACCTACATAATATAATTAAAGACACATATGACTTTAAATCAAAATTATCCGGATTAATCATCAAGAAGAATGAAATCATGGTAAGCTTTGATGTCGTTTCTTTATACACAAGTGTTCCCATTGATAAATGCTTAGAATTCATTAAGGGTTTACTTGAGAACGACAATACTCTTCCTGACAGATGTCCGTTGAGCATCAGTCTAATCATGAAATCATTAAAACTTTGCTTAAATTCAACGCTATTTACTTTTAACGGTATTTTATTCAAACAAACTAACGGAGTAGCAATGGGATCCCCCGTGTCCCCGATTGTAGCCAACCTTTTTATGGCATACATAGAATCAAATATCTTCGCCCACAACATTATACCACGAATTTGGCTTAGATATGTAGACGATACATTTGTGGTTATAAAAAAGACTCATCTAAGATCTTTTTCAAAACGAATTAATACACTCTCATCGCAAATCAAATTCACCAATGAAAATGAAAATGCTCATGGTGAGCTACCATTCTTGGATTGCTTAGTAAAAAGAAATCCAAATGGAAGTCTAAACTTATCCATTTACCGAAAGCCGACGCATTCAAATCGTTATATTGACTTCCATTCAGCACATCCTTTCAGTGCTAAGATCTCGCTAGCCTTAAATCTTTTTAGAAGAGCTAACAAGATCATCACATCAGAGGAAGACAAACGAAAAGAACAAATGAATATAATTAGTACCTTACAATTTAATAATTTTCCTATGAAGATTATTAGAAGCATATTAAAACAAAACAATTTATTACATTATAATAATGTTTCGAATGAAATGCCATGGATTGGTACTGTAGTTCTACCATACCGTCATGGCACAACAGAAGAAATTCAAAGAATCTTAAAACACCACAGAATTAAAGTGTATTACAAAACAACGAACACACTACGTAATACTTTAGTTCGCCTGAAAGAAAAAATCCCTTTCATGTCCACACAGAACTGCGTCTACAAATTAGGTTGTATCGATTGTGATGCCTATTATATTGGAGAGTCATCCCGCGAAATCGTGACTAGAGCCAAAGAACATATTAGGTACACAAAGAAACCTCCTAACAATCCGGTAGAATTGAACCAACTTCAAATTAAATCGGCAATAGCAGTTCATGCCATTTTCAACAACCACCAAATCGATATTAAAAATATCAAAATATTGCAAAAAGGCTTTTCCAACTACAAAGAAAGGAGGGTAGCTGAGGCGTTCCACATAATGCTTAATCCTACTTCTCTCAATAGAAAAGAAGGCCTTACCATACACCCTACTTGGACCATCTATCCTAACCATTCAGTCTGATCGTATTTCACAAATTTAAACTCTATCCTTTCTTACCATAAAGGTCACATAAGTTTTCATTCTTAAACAATGCACATATACATACACACACAAATTTACATACTTATCACTTATGAATCACCTTGACAGAAATGACATGACATCAACTTGTTCAGACCTGTTTTTTGATTGATCAAATATTATTCTTGCATTGTTCCGTTGTACTATTTAAACTTGGATTAATTTTAATTTGGTTATTTATTCTCTGAAGAAGTGACTTACACTAAGCCACGAAACGTCAGAAAATCCAATTTTCTACTCATTGGGATATTACAAATATATTATTTTTATTTATAACAATCAACCCAATGCTCAATTTATTCGAAATTATCAAATCAAACCTTGGTAATGACACCTACAATTTACTTACCTGTTAATTTTCATTTCACTAAATACAAAATTCCGCTAATCCACCGAGTAACCGCCAAAAAAATAAACCCTTAATTTAAAGTACAACTAAAAACGCTCTTTTTTATTTGCCCGTTTTTAGTTCGCGAAATATTCACCTTATTTTCAAGTGTTTTATATTCATATCTTTTAAATTTGTATGCATATATTATTTGCCCAGATCTATCAACCCTGACTTCTGTCAATAAACTGATAGTCTGTTGCAATATTCCATGTTAGGAGAGAAAGAAGAAATGGAGTATAAAGGTATTCTAGTTCGAGCTATATGTTACCGCCGCCTACTTTATTACATCAGGTTTGTTGAAATTAAGGAATTTTACTTTAAATGAAATCACTTGACCAATAGGTCTACAGATAGAATCCCCATAATATAGATGATAATAACTACTTAGTAGCTTACACAAATAACAACCAAATTATTAAAAAAATATTCATTAAAACCCACCAGGATAATTCTAGTAAGTGCACTCAGTTTGATGGTCAACACAAACTGAATACTAGTATAGGGGTTGTGGAGATTATTAAGTTTTTGATTGAGATCATGAACCGATTGATGTTATACCATCACAATTGAAAACCTGGAAGCACTGGACGGCCGTTTCGTCCTATTGTGGGACTCCTCAGCAGTGCGCATCCACGATCCCGCGAGCGGAATTCGAACCCAGGGCCTTCGGTCTCGCGCGCGAACGCTTAACCAACTGGACCACTGAGCCGGCACCCAATGGTGATAGTTTCTAACATCAACCAATCCACAATAGGACGAAACGGCCGTCCAGTGCTTCCAGGTTTTCAATTGTGATGGTCTAACATCAATCGGTTCATGATCTCAATCAAAAACAAACTGAATACTTTATCAATAACAAATACAAAACGATAATTGAGCAAGAAAAACCTATGCTACAAAAATTGAACGCAATAATAATAACATACCGGCTTAATGCTTCTATTTCTACAATTAGTTTGTTAGATTCTTCATAAATAGACGGATCTGGAGGAATAGGGCGCAAACTTGGTGGAAGTAAAGCGGGTGGAAGTACATTAGGAAGGGTACGATTAGATAAGCCCGCAGATAACTGTTCCGTTGCCAAATGCATGGCCACTGTAAACTGTTCACTGTAAATACAAATAAAATTCTTACAAGATAATATACAGCTCAAATTCTACTTTAAAATAAAATGGACAAAATGACTAAGAATTTACAATTAATGGTGCGATAAAGTGTTCGATATTTCAAACATGGATCCTAAGCCTGGTAAGATAGTGAAAACATCGTTATTACGCCTAAAAAGCTACAGATCATACGATAAAAATAAAGATATAATATACATGCAGATAATGTAGAAATGTTAATTGAATTGAAAGACATTTACCTGTTTAACAAACCAGTATTTTGTATATCAACCAGCTCCCATATATGAGCGAGAATATCTTGAGGTAAACCGGATCGCATCAGAATATCTCTCACTTCAGGGCCTGAAACTAACCCATCAGCATCCATATCTAGGGCAGCAAAAACTCTCAGATTTTTTGCATGTTCGTCTGCTGAAATAGCCCATTCTGGAAAATTATACGACTGAAGATAAGGTTGATGACCAGACAGAGCCCAAACAGTGGGAGTTGTATGAGTTGACTGTGTAGTTAATGTTTCACCGGTTGGAAAAGCCTAATTGATTCAAATGTTTGCAGTAAAAAACAGTAATATTATCTAGATTAAATTGTATACTTTTTCTGAAGGTCAACCATATGTTCATTCGCTAGTAATGTAAGAAAAATATTTTATCATTATTGATATCAGCCCGAGCTTTATGAATTACTTATGAGAGTAGCAACACACCTAACGACTAGGTACCTTTTGAAACAGTTAGTCACAACAAAACGAGTAGAAATTTAGGTATAATTACGTTACAATGAGAATAAAGTTTCTCTGGATAAATAAATCGGTGGGGGGAGCAAATGTGTACTTGATGAAATCATCACGATTAAGACGACCACTGTATTGCATAAAACCATTAATAATAATAATACTAATAATAATAATAATAATAATAATAATAATAATAATAATAATAATCTAACACCAGAATATCTACAGAGAGCCGAGTTAATTCGAAGTGATAAATTATTTTCATACGATGCCCAGGCCTAACAGTGATGTCCTATTTGATTGCAGAATGAGACCTACGAGCTAATTCCTTTTCATCACCTTTGATATTTTATTATGTTTTTTTCTGTTTTTATAATCTGTAAATAAGCATTTTATTTTATTACATAAAAATCTCATCTGGCCAGTGGTGTTGCCTACATCAATAATCAGTTCTTGTAAGCAACCATAACGCGGCACACTTAGTGTCACTCGTTACCATTTATCGATCAGCATTTTATCTAAAAGCCGATAATTCCGTATCACTGATCATTAAAAACCTCTCCCATGCAAGTGTAGACTGATAACCAATGGCTTTACAGATTTTTATTCATGTTTCCGTTTGTAGATAGGTTTATTTTTGCTTTAACTAAAAATAAATGTTGTACACGTATCATAGGAAATACACTGAGTATAGCCCCCAAATGCCCTGGGTATGGCCGAGAGTGGGAAGTCAGCTCTCCCTCTCGACATCCTCTCACATATCAACGCGTTTACAGCCACTACCAGAGAATTCCTAGTGACTGACTTCTCGCGGTGAATGTCTTGTTTACGAAGTTGAGAGGACGGAAAGCGAATGTTCGGCGCCTTAACCGGGTTGGTGGAAACAGAGGATCCACCTAAGGGGGTTGGAAAACCCTGATTTCATACCAATGGTGCACATATGCTCCAGGATCTTAAAGGAACAAATGGCGTATGAACCAATCGTTGGTCACTGACTACCATGGGACTGCATCTATTTACGTTGCTCCACTGCCTTATGGATCAGACCTGTAAGTCGAAGGCTCTGGATGTGACCCCCTAAAAAAACAACCTGCTTCGGTCTGGGCACCCGAACAGTATTACAACCCACACACAAATCAACTGACTTGTGTGGCGCATACGTTTTCGGTGTGCCTTTGTACTAATATTTATATATTCAAATAAATAGATAAAATAAACACTAAATATACAATCTCAGTAACTGATCGACACAGCTTAACAACAAAATCTACGAACAAACGAAAAGGACACCAATGGGATCACCAATATCAGGATTGATCACAGAGGCAGAGGTGCAAAGACTAGAAGCCGCTATATTACCAGTGATCAAACCAAAAGTTTGGATTCGCTATGTAGACGACACCATCATCGTCAAAAAGAATGAACTAGAAAACACTTACAAACTGATCAACAACGTCTTCGATGACATTAAGTTCACCATGGAACAGGAGTCAAACAACAAACTAGCATTCTTGGATATATTGATCACTAGAACCGACACAGAAAAACTGGAAACTCAAGTATATAGGAAACCGACCCATACAGATCAAATTCTCAACTTCAATAGCAACAACCCAAAAGCTCACAAAATCAACTGCGTACACAATTTGTCCAAGAGGGCGAGGACACACTGCAGCACACTGGCAGCACGAAGAAATGAAGAGAAATACCTGAAGGATGTATTTCAGAAGAACGGCTACCCAATAAACTTCATCAAAAAATACCAACCGCACGCAGCATTAGAACTCAAGTCAAGCACAAAAATCAACAGAAGGATCACCCTACCATATATACAAGGAATATCAGAAACAGCAAGGAGACTGCTGAAAACATTCGGAATAGGTGTGGCACACAAACCGACAAAATCACTACAATCAATCCTATGCAAACCAAAAGATGAAATAACAAAGGAAAACAAATCAAACATCATCTACAAAATAAACTGTGCCAACTGCGAAAAACACTACATTGGACAAACCGGACGCCCCCTTCACCTTCGCCTACATGGACATCAATTAGCAGTCAAATGCCGTGATACTTCCTCACTTATATCAATACACGTGGACAACTGCGGACACTCATTCGATTGGAAAAATGTGGAAATCTTAGACAGAGGAAACTCCAAATACACCAGAGAATTTCTAGAAACCTGGCACTCAGGTCAATCAACAAGCATATTGAAATCAATCCAATTTATCAACCAATCAGAAAAATCATGCACAAACATAAGAACAAAAATCAAAACAATGGGAGACACAACCAAAACAAAGAAGTAAACAATGACAAATTTAAGGTCAATAAGGACCAATCAACATCGAGGTGCGCGAAACAAGCTTTGAAACATATATGGAAAAATTCAAACACTTCACTTCTATCTGAAGTTCGTGCTGATGATGTCGTTCAGAAGAACGATGAAAGCTCCACGACCAAACCATCTAGCTCAGAGAACAAAACCACCAAAAACAACTTAATCACAAACATCCTACTTTAGAAGTCTAATTGCAGACTAGCGGTCCCTCTAGGCGATTGGGATTCAAACGACCGCCATTGTCCCCAACTTTTAAATCTAAAAGATTATTTTATAGACTAGTGGTCAAAATAAAGAGCAGTACTTAGTTCCACGAATTATTTTGAGATTAAGGAGATAAATAGTTACATATCCACTCTGGTACTTTACGATGGTTAGTTTATGGTTTGTCGAGAAGTAACTGATAGTCCTAACCCCGTTTATTCTTCAAATTTTAATTAAAAATACGGAAAAATCGATTTCTCAGTATTAGATATACTGAGTGTCAAATGTGAACTAAATTTCCTTCGATCATCCTAATCCCACCACGATATAGGCTCAAGGAAACAGTTCTCGTTGACAGGTTAGAAGTAAGAGTTGAGGAGCTCAAACACTGTGTTTGACATAAACACTATTAGCAACAGTTTGAAAAAAAAAAATAAACTAATGTGAATGAGATTATATTGTCCAAAAACTTACAATATAATGGCCGGTAAGCTAAACAACCCATATATCAAATAAACTAACCACTCAATTTCAATCAAATTTTGAACTCGTCACTAGAACTTTTTTCTAACAGTCACTAACATAAAAACGACGAATTCTTTGAGTTTAAGCAGTTTGACGTCATCACTATTAACATGACAGGGTCCTGAGTATTACAGGTACTGATCATACTTAAATTGAAATACACTGACTGATCCATTCCAAACAAATTAGTACTAGTGGTTGAATCGCGATGGTATATTCTTATGTAAATTATATACATAGTCTAAAGTTTCTAATTCTGTATGTCTGCTGTTCAGGTTTGCTGGAATATGCATCGTCTCTTCTTACATGGTGTTGATTTGGGGGGAGTTAACTGGAACCATCGTGGTCAGGGAACACTAGACAGCAAAAGAACAAAACAGCTATATAAGACAATAGTCTGGGTAATATGTAGAAATGTAAACTGCATTCACTGTACTATATTACGGACGGAATTATTAAAGCGAAGTTTCAAACTACTACAGGACCAGTTCGCCTTATGCTAGTAAAAGCAGAGAAATTTAAGTGAGTAAAATCAAAAAAGGATCAATTAATATTTATGATAAGTGAAATCATTAAGCTGGATCAATAATGAAGATTGAAATATTTTATTACTCACGGATACAAGCGCTGATAAATATCCAGTACTCTGTTTTGGATTTAATTCTGATGTAGACTGCACAGGGACTAGTGCCAAATTAAAATCAGCATCACTAGTAATAGGCGGTAAACACAACATGGAATTATTGATAGACGTAGAGTTTGAAAAATAATGTTCTTTGTCAGGAGGAACTAAATTCTTTGGTAGTTTGTCCGGTAATATTTTACCCTCCAGTGATTGATGGACCAAATGCATAGCCTACAATCAAAATCGTAATAAATATTTATCGAATTAAAAAAGCTGTATTATCCTAAACACAATTGTACAGATTTAAAGGTGTATAGAAACTTAGGATGTATGGAGTAAGGTTTCCGTGTCCTGACAACCTGACAAAAATTCGAACTCGTTTCAATACTCAGTGTGTAGTGAGTAAGAACACGAGTGAGGACAATGGAATGTATTGGGGCACAAAACTACAGAGCATCTCAACAAAATCTGAGAACCGTATAGTAAATCGTTAATTTGCAAAATATCAATCCATCATCTCAAACTTGACCGTTCTTGTCGCAAACATCAATCCATTGTTTCAGATTTGATTGTTCATGCGTTTTCATACCAATTGCGTTCCGTTACTGTTCTTTCCTCATCGATCTTCTGCTGAAATACATTCTATGCCTGACCACCCTTATATACTACTTATATAAATATAAGTAACCCGCACCACAAGTGTAGTTTCACACGAATATTTCAAGCTTATGGAGAACTGTTACCCAAATTGATTATTTCAAGCGGTGTTCCCCAGTGTTTTCCGCTCTCCCCATCTTTATTTAACTCTGTCAAACAAATAATTTCAGAAATAACACTTTTATCTTCTACCAGGAGATTCACTTGTTGACTTAGAATACGCAGATGATATACTGCTATTCAGTGAAGAGAATGGCAAATTCCGGAAGCTTATGACCCCATTAAGCTACAAGGCAAGTATGTTTGGAATTCGATTCTTTCCTTCCAAATGAAAAATGTTGCTTTGGAATTGGCATGTGTCGGCGCCTGAATTAATGTTACGGAGTGAAGTAGTTGGACGTACCGACCGCTTTACTTATCTTGGGAGCCTCATCAGTCCTGGTGCTCTGGTATTTGAAGAAATTTCAGCACAAACTCAGAAATCTCGATCGGCATTTGTCAACTTGCATCACTTGTGGCGTAGGAGAGATATTCATCTATCAACAAAGGACGAGTTTACTGTGCACCGGTTTGCTCCGTTTCACTTTATGGATGTGAAGTATACTCATTAAGGATAACACTAGTATTCAATCACGCTTGTCTTCGAAGCACTGTTCGTGTTTTGGAAGCACAAAGTAAGCAATGCCTAGGTTAGGCATAGAGCACAAGTTCAAGATGTCGATTCGGTTGGTGGGGTAACGAATTCTCATCATCTGACGTGGTTGGGACTTGTGTTACATATACCCAGCTACTGCCTACCTCGACGGGTGATGTTTGGTGTAAGGGTGAGCTGGAAGAATCCGAGGGGCGGTCAAACCAAAACACCGCATCACTCCATGAAGTCACTGACAATTGGACTGACTCGTGTGTTAACAGGTGTAAAATACCTGGTTGAAGCCCATGTAATTTTCGTAACCAGTGGTTAGAGACTTAGAATGATATGGCTCAAAATCGTTTGTAATGACACAGGTGCATCAATTCTTTGTTTTCGCCCAGTTCTAAGCTTCGGAATGCCTCATAATCTTTTTCAATTCACCAACTTAGATTTTCTTCTCGAATCGTATCTTCGATGAGTAATTTTTCTATTATCACTGATACTGTTACTAGCTACGTTATTCCGGGATTTGGCCTGATAATTTTATCGCGCTGTGCTGATAGGATATATGAACTTGAACCAATGTGCACACTTACAAGGTTCTACGTTGCAAACGATTGACTTATGTGACTAAAACTAAGTAATTGGGATTGAGGTATGAATAACGCAGATTGTATTGATACAAATTGCAGACTGGAAGTGAAGGTTAGAACACAATATAGTAGAATACCAGAGATACAACTGAATCACTAAAGATTCAAACTGACAAATAATAAATGATGAAGGTAAGAGAATGAGATACAGTTAATTACCGTCCACATTCAATAAGATTGGTCACTTATGCGTCAACTTGAGCCGATATTCATTTGCATCAGGTTCTTACAATGTTTATGACTGGATGGTTGATGATTTATTTCACATACTTTTATCTAGATGTTATTTCAACAACCTAAGAAGTATTTAATACACAATTGTCTGACTAGAAAAAAATTAATTCAGCTGATGCGAATCAAATTGGTCAACTTTGCAGCAAATGCTAGTTAAATGATTGGAGGACAATTCAGAGTATATAATTATGTAACACATAAGGAAGTCTGAGCTTTCTGAGAAGGCTTGCATCAAAGAACAATGACTTCATAAGCGGAAACCATTTGTTTTAAGGGTTCCCGGGACCCTTTCAAACAATCTTATGCTAGGGAAGACGAACCCACTGAAATAAGTAATGGCACGAGTAAAACACACCGGGACGATAAAAATGATGACAATAAGTAACCAACCGGTAAAGTTATTTAATGAGAACTAAGACCTATAAGTGTTATTACACACTCCTCTACCGTAAGAAAATATCAGACATAGTAGCACTAACTAATAATAATCAGTGAAATTCTGACGAGAATCCTAAGATAACCACTCAGCATTAAAATTATACTGAAATTTAGTATAACGATTATAGGCATGAAAAACTAAGTTACAAATATCACTTTAAACTTACAACAATGAACTCGCTCTGATCTAGACTACCATCATTATCAATATCTGAAAGGTCCCATATTTTTCCAAGAGTTTCAACTGGTAACTGAAACTTTAAAAATACCTGGGAAAAAACGAATGGTCAAATCAGGAACTATATATAGCATATTGATGACAAAAAGTTTAGTCACGGGTCTCAATAAGTTTATTCTTTTGTGTATTTGACGGTGTATAAATGAAACAGCGTAAAAACATATCAATTGTTCTCAATTAATCACTATCGTTATTTCATTGATTGTAGCCAGTTGTAGTTCGGAAACATCTGTTTAGAATAGCCAAATAATTAAGTAATTTTAGTTTAGAATAGATTTTTAATATCATAAAACTGTTTAAACGTTAAAAGGTTATAGCACTAGGATAAGAAATATGCACGCTATCCACACACACATTCTACTTTTACGGAAGTGCAGTATTCGTTTTTGGGTGATGTACCTATGGAGACTGAATTAACTAGTTGAACCAAACTACCTAATCGTTGATGGACTAATGCCCATTTGAAAGGAAATTACTAAAAATAAAGAAGTTCGATGTCTTGTGGACGTATTACATATAACAACAGCTATTCTTGCAACTGCGAAAGAAATTTTAGATCTTTGAGTACAGACCGACGTGAGCGAGCCATTGTATTTCCAAGATGTTTTAAGAGGATATCAGTGATAATTGATACTTGATTATAAATGAAATGTGGAATAAATTAGTATTTCCACAAGAAGTGCTAATTCATGTACCAGACTATGATTTAAATCCGTTACGCAACAGCTGGGTATGATAGCTAGGGACTGAGACTTAAGTATATGAATGGTGTTCAAACTCCTGTCTTCGACATTGTAAGTGATTCCAGATATGCCGGAGTATTTGCCACTTTAATTTAAAAATTAATTCACGCAGATAAATGAAGACAAATGGAGTCAATAGCGTTCGGAGAAAAAAGGATTACTTCCAAAAATAACAGAATAGCTATTCTTAAAGCACTGCAGACGTTCCGACCAATTCAATAGATGATAGTTTCCCAGCTTTCTTAGGACTGTAATCAATATAATAAGCAATAATTTCACTAGGTGGCCCCCGAATGCCCTGGTACGGCCGAGAGTGGGGTGAGTCCGCTCTCCCTCTCGAAATACTCTCACACGGCCGCGCGTATACAGCCTCTGCCAGGGAAGTCCCACTCATTGCCTTCTCGTGGCGGGGGTGTTGTTTACGAAAATGAGAGGACGAAAAGCGAATGTCCGGCGCTTTAACCGGATCACAAATTAATGGTGCACATGGGCTCCAGTATCCTGCGGGAACAAATGGCGTATGAACCAATCTTTGGTCACCGGCTACCATGGGACTGCATCTCCTTACGATGCTCCACTGCCTTGTGGGTTAGACTTTTAGGTCAAAGGCTCGGGGAGTGGCCCCCTAAGAAAACCACCTGCTTCGGTTTGGGCACCCGGGCAGTATCACAGCCCACACACAAACGATGAACTCTATGTCATTGGCAACTACTTTTATCGCTCCGAAAAACAATCAGTCGATTCAAATAATTATCATTACTATTATTGTCATTATTAATACTATTATTATTACTATTGTTGTCATTATTATTACTATTATTATTATTATCATTATTTCCCACATTATTCACCCTCTTTTATACTTATACAGCGGCTCGTCTTTGGTGGAAATCCGACTGTATCTAAACGTTCTCGAGTCACTGTCCAGTTGAAAATTGTATTTTACCATCGAATATGAGTACTGAAGCAGTTTTTCTGAAACCACGTGCGCCATTCAAACTGGCTGCCTTCAACGTTCGCACACTTATGCAGGTTGGTCAACAGATAGGGCTGGCTATGTCTTTGGAAAGTTTTTATATTGATGTTTGTTGTCTATCCGAGACCCGTATTCAAGACTCTGGCGAAGTACTACAAATCCGATCTCCATCTGTCGCTTCGAAAAGCTTGTTTTACGTGCGCTTATCCGGGGACCCTGTGGCATCTTCGTCTGGTCTTGCTGGCGTTGGTGTCGCACTGAGCGCTAGAGCTGAGGCAGCACTAGTCGATTGGATCCCCATTAACAGTCGGTTATGTGCTGTTAGATTAGAAAGTTCCATCAAAGTGAGAAGAAATCGGCGTGAGAAACGATGTCTTTTCGTCATCTCCGCCTATGCCCCGACAGATTGCAGCCCGGATGCAATCAAGGATGAGTTTTACCACCAGTTATCTGTTCTTCTCCAGAAAGTGCGTTCGACAGATATTGTAGTACTAGCCGGAGACTTGAATGCTCAGGTCGAGCGTCTAGGCACAGAAGAGAGTCGTTTAGGTGGCCGATGGGGACTCGTTGGTCGCAGGTCAGATAACGGGGACCGTCTACTGCAACTGTGCACAGACCACAACCTGTTTCTGGCTAGCACTAACTTTCGGCACAGTCATCGCCGATATGCCACCTGGCGTCCTCCCTCTGCATCCCAAGCCTGGACTCAGATTGATCACATCGCGATCAGCTACCACTGGCGTGGTTGTGTAAAAGACTGCCGCTCCTTTTGGAGTACCTATCTGGACTCTGACCATGCCTTGGTCTGCGCCAATCTTGCCTTACTTTTCAGTGGACAACGAAGTGACCACCACCAAAAGATTGATGTTAGCAAGCTGGTTGCAACTTCTGTTGCAAATAAGTATCGAACCGAGCTAGCCTCTAGGCTAGCTACCACTCCACCGAAAAGTATAGATGAGCATTGGTTGCAATTGCATGACGCCATGAAAATGGCGGGAACAGTCAGTTGTGGGTTCGCGAAACGTCCCGCTTTTAAGCACTGGGTTTCTTCTGGTTCCTTACAACTCATTGAAGCCCGTCGGTCTACTCCGGGTGACCGTGAGTTTGACCATAAACGAAGGATGTTATGTAAGGAAATTGGGCAAAGCTTGCGTAAGGACCGAGAAGCCTAGTGGTTGAAGCGTGCTAATGAGCTGGAAGCAGCAGCTGCATCTGGTAATTACCGGAAGCTCTTCCAACTCATCCGAGCCACTGGCAGCAAGAAGTCTGGTGTGAGTGAGACAATCTGCGACGATGATGGGATGCCAATCACTAACATCCATCGACGTCTTGGACGATGGACAGAATTTTTCGAAGGGCAGTTCAACTGGCCTGCTGCTCCGACAACATCGGTCAGACTGCCCTGCCCTCCATGGCCGGTGACGACTGATCCACCAAACGAGGAAGTCCGCAAGGAACTCCAACTCTTGAAACGCTACAAATCACCTGGCCCAGATGACTTACCTCCGGCTCTTTTTAAAGATGGTGGTGACTTTTTGACTAAGGAATTGACGACGTTGTTTACACAGGTTTGGGAACTAGAGAGTGTACCAACGTCATGGAATGAGTCGATAGTTGTCCCTATCTTTAAAAACGGTTCACGTCGTTCCTGTAACAACTATCGGGGGATAAGTCTACTTCCAATTGCGTCCAAGCTATTGGCTTCCGTCATACTTCGTAGGTTGTTCAAAACCCGAGAAAGATTGACTCGCGAGGAGCAGGCTGGTTTTCGTTCCGGTCGAGGATGTATTCATCATATCTTCACCGTCATGCTTATCAAAAGCCAACAATCGTAGTGTTTCTTGACATTAGGGCTGCCTTCGATTCGTTGGACAGGACTGTTCTCTGGGATTGCCTATTGAAGAAGGGTGTGCGTGAGAAGTTTATTAACATCCTAAAAGCCCTATATACAAACACTTCAGGCAGAGTGAGGGCATACAACCACCTCTCTCCATTGTTCCATTCGAGAAGTGGGGTTAGGCACGGTTGCCCAATCTCGCCAGTCCTCTTCAACTTTGCCATCGATGACATTCTGGAAACAGCTCTGATGAATGTAAGTAATGGTGGTGTGGATCTGTTGCCTGGAGAAAGACATCTCGACCTTGAGTATGCGGACGATATTGTCTTACTGTGCGATAATGCCCAAGGCATGCAATCCGCACATAATCAGTTGGCAATCAGTGTCCGTAGGTATGGTATGTGCTTTGCACCTTCGAAGTGCAAAGTACTCCTACAAGACTGGCAGGATTCCAATCCCCCGACCGTTGTTGCTACCTTGACGTGGTGGTCGGGCTTGCCTATCGTGATGAACCAACCGAGCTATACTGGCTGGAACAACCGTTCCTCAAGGTCCTACCATGTCAGACAGGTCGGTTGAAGAGCGGTAAGACTAAAAGCAACAAACCCAAGGTCCGAAGGCGAAGTCGTACTGCTGACTGTACAGAGGTGTGACAGCAGTAAGGTGTTTCCTTCAGACAACCAGCATGACAGAGATGCTGCCTTCCCACAAGGAGGGGTGGGGTTAGAAAAGGTCGACCCTAAAAATGCACACCTCGCCTTATCCCACGGATATCCGTCTCCGGCGGTAAGGTCTCAATAAGTACGGAGCTAACACAAAAATTACCCATAACAAGGTCGTGTGTGACCGACCTCAAGCAGTTGTCCCTTGGGCACTGCGGTCACGCTCTCAGGTCACTAAGACCACCTTTAATCTAAATTCCTTTTCAGGTACCTCCAGAACAACCCTTCCACGGTGTGGGCAACCGGGAAGTGAAAACCGCCCTCATACCTCTAACAGCACTCGAGACCACTGTATTCATAATCAACCTCCGTCTTCACTTCCTATTATTCCTCCTACATCGACTTTCAACTTTAAATTTCCTCTCTCGGCTTCCACCTCAAGTGTCACCATAGCCAACGATTCTAGTGCGCAAAATACTATCCCAGGTCTACTGAAACCTCGCTCCACACTACACATTGGAGCCTTCAACGTACGAACCATATGTCAAATCGGTCAGCAGGCTTCCTTGGCTAAAACCCTAGAGTCTCTTACCATTGACGTGTGCTGTGTCTCCGAAACACGCATACAGGATTCCAGTGTGGTCATTCACTTGACCTCACCTCGGCAAAACGGAGAGCCAACGAGGTACACCCTTCGTGTATCTGGTGACCCGATGGCAAGTTCTCGTGGACTGGCAGGTGTAGGCATAGCACTAAGCATGAGGGCCGAACAAGCACTGCTAGAGTGGATCCCCGTCAACAGTCGTCTATGTGCTGTTCGGCTGAACGGCTACGTAAGAACTCGGAAGGATAGGGACACACGTCATTGCCTTTTTGTCGTTTCTGCCTACGCTCCCACTGACTGCAGCTCAGATGATGTGAAAGATGAATTTTACAGAAAGCTGTCCGAACTTCTTCAGAAAGCTAAACGCTCAGACATAGTACTCGTAGCAGGTGATTTTAATGCTCACATAGGCAGTTTAAACCAAACAGAAAGGCATTTAGGTGGATATTTTAGTATTCCGACACAGCGAACAAATAATGGTGATCGTCTGCTGCAGCTATGCTCAGACAATCGTTTATTTTTAGCAAACACAAATTTTAAGCATAAGGAGAGACATCGTCTAACGTGGCGACCGCCTGCACCAAACCAACGATGGACTCAAATAGACCATATTGCCATCAGTCATCGTTGGAGAGGGTCGGTAGAAGATTGTCGCTCATTCTGGAGTACCTGCTTGGACTCCGACCATGCCCTAATACGGGCACGCATCTGCTTGCGCCTCACTGGACGCAAAAAAGCCACATTAAAAAGACCCGTTAGAACTGACTTGAGTAACGAGAAAACCAAAAGTAGGTTCCAGGAACAACTGAGGTCACACTTAGGTAGTTGTGAAGACGAGGCTGACCCAGATGTTGCTTGGAAGGGCATACAATCAGCTGTGGAAACAGCAGTGACATCTATTAGTGACTTAAACCACAGAGTTGCAAGGAACCAGTGGATTTCTTCAAGGTCTGTCACACTGCTGGATTCTCGCAAACTCGTCCCATCAGGTTCTGAACATGATGAAGAGCGAAAACAAATCAGATCTAGGTTAAGAAAAAGTCTAAGAAACGACCGTGAGCAGTGGTGGGTAACGAAAGCAAAAGAGATGGAAAAGGCGGCGACTATAGGGAACACAAGACAGCTTTACAGACTAATAAAAGAAACTGGAATTAATAAGTCAAGTGTAAGTGAGATTATTTCGGAAAAAGATGATACTCTCATCTGCTCCCAGTCCAGGCGTCTAGAACGATGGGCGGAACACTTTAGGGAACAGTTCAGCTGGCCTTCAGTTACTCTACAACTACCCTCCATTCCCAGACAGTGTGAATGGAACATTGAAGTAGGTCCCCCGACTCTTGCTGAAGTTCAAAAGGCTATAGTTAATCTGAAACGAGGAAGGGCAGCTGGTCCAGATGGATTGGCTCCAGAGGTCTTTAAGGATGGTGGTCCAATTTTAGCGATTAAGTTGACTAATATTTTAGCTAAGATCTGGGAATTAGACTTTATCCCATCTGACTGGTCGCAATCACTTATCGTCCCAATATATAAGAAAGGGTCAAAATCATCCTGTGACAACCACAGAGGGATTAGTTTAACAAACATAGTATCTAAAATACTGGCCTCGATAATTATCAAACGCCTAACTAAGACTCGTGAACTACAAACTCGAGAGAACCAAGCTGGCTTTAGACCTGGTCGTGGCTGCATCGACCACATATTCACCATTCGTCAGGTTCTAGAACACAGACATACCTATCGGCGTCCGACGATGGTGGTATTTCTTGACTTAAAAGCAGCATTTGACTCGGTAGACCGCGAGACTCTGTGGCAGTGTCTGTCATTGAAAGGCGTACCTCACAAGTACATAAACCTTGTGAAGGCTCTTTACTCGAACACTACTAGTCGAGTCAGGGCTTATGGCGAACTGTCATCTACTTTTGCAACCTCAAGTGGTGTCCGTCAAGGCTGTCCACTTTCTCCATTTTTGTTTAACTTCATCATAGACCTATTGATGGAAATAACACTCTCGTCGACTGAATTCTCGGGTATTGATCTCCTTCCAGGAGGTTCACTTATCGACGCAGAATACGCAGATGACATAGTCCTGTTTGGTGAAGACGCTGACAAAATGCAGAGTCTTCTGGTAGCACTAAGCAACAATGCCAGAATGTTTGGGATGCGCTTCTCTCCCTCTAAATGCAAGTTGTTGCTTCAGGACTGGTCTGCGTCAACACCTGAACTAAGGATAGGGAGTGAAGTAGTCGAACGCGTTGACAACTTCACTTATCTTGGAAGTCTGATCAGCCCTAATGGGTTGATATCGGACGAAATCTCAGCACGGATTCGAAAAGCTCGTTTGGCTTTTGCCAACTTACGTCACCTTTGGCGAAGGCGAGATATCCGTCTATCAATAAAAGGACGAGTATACTGCGCGGCAGTTCGTTCTGTTTTAATTTACGGCAGCGAAACATGGCCCTTAAGAGTAGAAGACACCCGTAAGCTACTAATATTTGACCACAGATGCCTTAGAAATATTGCTGGCATCTGCTGGGATCACCGGGTAAGTAATAGCGAGGTTAGACGCAGGGTATTAGGGAATGATGGTAAATCAGTTGATGAGGTTATGAATCTTCATCGACTGAGATGGTTGGGCCACGTATTACGTATGCCTGAACACCGATTACCACGACGTGCAATGCTAACCGGGGTAGGGGATGGTTGGAAGAAAGTTAGGGGCGGCTAAACCAAAACGTGGCATCAGTGCCTGAAGTCACTAACTTCTAGTCTGAGCCATGTTGGTAGATGCAGACTACTTGGTTGGGGTCCGCGTGACTTTCGTAACCAATGGTTGGAGACTCTTGGTGACATGGCTCAGAATCGATCACAATGGCGTCGGTGTATACACTCCCTGTCTTCCCTTAAACTAAGAGATTAAAATCACTTCATTCTTTCTGTCTACGAACTAATTCTTTCTTCCTATACTATATCCTTATTGCAACCTTTGACCTAACCACTCCTATGAATCCGCTGTTCATCTTGCTGTGCTAATGAGGTATGGCAACCTGGACCGATGCACATATGTGCCTGGTCCTACGTTGTAGCTGACTGACTGACTGACTGACTGGATTCCAATCCTGTACTCACCCTGGATAGTGAGCAGATAGACGTAGTCGAGAAGTTCGTGTATCTGGGTAGCTGCATAAGTGCTGGTGGGGGTGTGAGTGATGAGATCAATTTATTTATTTATTTCAACACATACATAATGGTACAAAGAGGCACCAAATACATATGCGCCACACAAATCTCATTCGATATGTGTGAGGGCTGTGATACTGCCCGGGTGCCCAAACCGAAGCAGGTGGTTTTCTTAGGGGGCCACACCCCGAGCCTTCGACCTGAAGGTCTGATCCACAAGGCAGTGGAGCATCGTAAGGAGACGCAGTCCCATGGAAGCCGGTGACCAACAATTGGTTCATACGCCATTTGTTCCCGCAGGATACTGGAGCCCATGTGCACCGTTGGTTTTGAATCCGGTTAAAGCGCCGGATATTCGCTTTTCGTCCTCTGTGTTCGATCATCGCTGTCTCCGAAGGATTGCTGACATTCAGCGGCAACACCATGTCAGTAATGCAGAGGTTCGGCATCGTGTGTTCGGGCACAGAGATGATAATTCAATTGGTGTCACCATCTTGAAACATCGACTTCGGTGGCTTGGACATGTTCTACGAATGTCGTCCCAGAGAATTCCACGTCGTGCATTATTTGCCGACTCTGGGACTGGTTGGAAGAAGCGGAGAGATTGTCAGTGCATGACATGGTGTCGTGGTATGAAAGAAAGCTGCAAAGGACTGGCTTCTGTCGGTCCTTCACGACTCCCTGGTTGGGGTCTGAGAGATGGTGCAACACAGTGGCTAGAGACGTTATCAGATATGGCTCAGAATAGAAGCCAGTGGCGATCCTGCTGTAACCTTCTTTTACTTTCTTCATAAAAAGTGGTTCTGTCTCCCTTACCTGAAAGATTTCTTCCGATTGTACCTTTGCGTTCCCTGATTACCAGCACATAACCTTACACTAATCTCTTCGTTATTGTTCTCTCTTTTTTTTGTTGCGCTCCTTAGCTTTTTTTTCTTTCTTTGTATTCCTCTCGAATTTTCATTGTTTTGTGTGGCGCATATATATTGGCGCTCTCTTGTGCCAATATTCATGTGTCCAAATAAATAAATAAATAATAATTTCACTAGGTTAAAAAATGTTGCTCAACAGAATCACATTAATCTAAACTAATGGCAGTCGGCAAACAAAATTCCACAAACCTCTCTAATTTTTTCCCCAGATAATTTCCCATAGGTTGGCTGAAGTTGATCGAAAATCGTTCTATACCTATACGCATCAGGAACAGAGATCTCATAAGCCATCTTTGAAGTCTAAGAATATCACCTGAATTAAATAAAAAAAAGTTTAGCATTCAATTAAATAATATAAAGACAATATAATAGACAATTATTTTTCCGTCGAAGCACAGCACATATACGAGGTATAACATAACAGGGCTCGAACTTTTGGTAAAATAGTTTTGGCATTATAGTTGATGTCAGTTCGTGATGAAAACCCTAGATAATATTCCAACCAAAACAGTAATATTCTGTGGCTCCGAGGTAACAAAATACACTGAACGATTTCGTACAAAGTTTTAATGAAAACGTAAAGTAATTGGAGTCACACACAGTTAAAAGAACTTGTCACACAGGAGAAAATATATATAACTGGTAGTTAAATTCCTACATTGTGGTTAATGCACCAAATAACAAATCATGTCAGCCAACAATGTACAATGCACTTCCAACCAACTTCATTTCGTCTTAAACGTTTGTGTTATTCGAAAGAATTGAAGAATACAATTCCAACTACTTGAATTGCTGTACGAAATGTTCCAGATTGTTCAGTTTAAGACTAAAAGAGGATTCGGTAACTTATATCAATAATAGCCTAAAAACAGTCATTTGAAAGCCGGATATCGATTAAAAATCACTCATTAACAACATGCAAAATCCTACATTAAGAATAAAAACGGTTCAAAATATAAATTAATGTGGGCGACCCTAGCATTTTATTAGTGGCCACCATAAGTACGCACCAGGGTAACTGTTATGTAATCTGAACATAAATATCCACGCAACATGAATATTGAGGTCGCCATTAGGATACTAAGAAAAAACATGCATGGGATGAAACTTATACCAAACAGTAGAGTGAAACAGCAGTCAAACGTCTTCAGCATTCTCAGTTACATCTTCTGTAGTCGATATTTTCAGCCACATTTCCGATGAGTGTCTGAAGCCTATATAAACTGTCATTGATTTCGGCTTCAAAAAGATGAAAAATGAGTTATATAAGAAATTCTTGGAAGCTTATCAATAAGTTGTGGAACCGACACTTAGAGGTGACTGTTAACTCAGAATAATGAAAAACGAGGGGAAGTGAGCCTAAATAGCGCGAGCAAAGATACTTATATCTCGCTAATCACTACCAAGAATTTTAATAAGGCAAACTAGACAGCACACGAAACCTTGAACAATTTGCATGGCCATGCCTACACTCATACAAAAATTATTTATTTTCAGTTTGAGATTTCCTACAGTAGCAGGATACAAGCTAGACAAGTTATATCCAGCAACTAGTCACAGAATATCATCAGGACTACCATCTAAAGAAAGGTCACAACCACACCGTATAAAACCATAAACACCGCCAGTATTTATCAATAATCAACAGCCATAAAACAAGTCAGGACAAGCAAGAAGGACTAAATATCAGCTTTCCGAACTTAATTTCCATTTTTAGGTACTGCTCTGTGACAAAAAGACATGGCATTACCATTAACATTTGGATGACCTAGTCAATCAAATATGTTGTAGTGGTAAATAAATTCCCAAAATAAATAGCTCTGTAAATCTTCGACATTGGATCCCGACCACATTAGTTTTGATGGACTCGCCTAGCTGAAGGCGCTCGGTCATCTATGCGCACCAGATCACGAGTGGGAACGCTGTGCTCAACATCCCCTGCAATCGCTAGCCAGATTAAAGCAGTCGATCCACGATATATTGATAGCCTATCAAATATATCTTCGAACATCCTCTATGTCTTTTTATTTCACTTGGTGAGTACGATTTATATTAGGTGTTACTGGTTAAAGCACTTTCAAACCCCAGATACCTGTGCCATCTTCAATGTAACTAGTAATATGAATCACTAAATGGTGGTTCTTCATAAGGGTGCTGCGAACGGACTGATGTAACTTTATTTACTAAATTGACTCAAGGGATATTCTCACGGAAGGTGAGTCTGATGTAATAGCATAAGTCAAGTAGTTGAGAGTTAGTTGAAGACCTTTTGCCGGTATCGAAATATTTGGTTACTTCCTTATTTTGCGCAAACATTACATTTCCTGTTATCTCGTATTGAATGTTGAAAGGTGTGTTTGTTTAAGTTCCACGATTTGAGTGAACATCTACTACAGCCATTAGTCAGGCCTTTCCGACATGAAAAACAAGGGTGACTGCCAGCATGAAAGCTCTACACCTCAAATTTTATCAAGATGGAGGATAGATGTCCGGCCTAACTTCGCTTTTAGCGTGCTATAGTTTGTTGTGTGTTCAAAGTATTACAGAACCTCCTGTTAGTTATGTCTATAACTAACAAATCAAATCGTTGTTCAAGCACCCACCACGTTGATCTAGTCTGATGTGTCTGTAAAGTATCCCTGTTGCATGTGGCCTGCCAATTGAAAGACATCATTATCCTATTATATTAGTTTGACTCATAATTTTTATTCATTTCGTAAGACATGCAATACTGGTCAGTATGTTTGTGTGTTTCAATTAGTGACTTTTATTCCTTTAATTATTGCAATAATTTACCTGTTTTTACATCTAGAAACAGACAGAGTTTAAAGCCAAGTTATCCTTGTTCTGATTATGGCTTTCACATAGACTCTGGGTTCGCCAGTATCGCGTTTACGGTCCTAGTATTATGTCTACAGGACAAGTTGAATCCTACACTTTCTGCATGCAATAAAAGGAAGGAACAATCGATTCGATCAATCTACTGGATACAACGTATTTTTACGTCAAGGAGCTTCCCTCCGTTAGACATCTATGCCATCAAACAAAGTAAATGACCTCAAGATCCTGATTTCTTACATCAACTGTGAAACGAATTACAGAATTTTGACTTTTGATTGAGATTTCGATCAACTGTCTTAAGAATGCAGAAAAATACGTCTTTATCAGTAGCCTAAATTTTCCGTAGTTCAAATTAATATAATCAGAATGAGGTTTATATCTCAACATCAAATATATCACTTAACACCGAGGATTCGGATGGATAATCATTAGCATTTTCATTTTCTTCTTGTGGTGGTAAAGATATGACAGGTAAAATGGAATTAGACAATATCACTTTCAACTTAACTTACAACTGATAGCCCGAGGTAGAAACCCACCATTATTGAGAGATTTATGTAATCGCTAGTATGTAGAAGTGTGGAAAGGAAAACTTCCAAACTGAGAACTTTAAGAGGTAATATTTTTTACGCCGTTCCGTGCTGTGACTACATGGTAATGATTAACCAAGATTCTTCAATCACTATAATTCTTGAAATCAAGGGGAGCGAAATCAGTCTTGAGCGTCTGCAAAACAATTGATTTAAGGAACTTATTTGCTCCCACCGCAGGATACTTAGTTTCCTATATGGCGTTTTACTCGTTCGTATTATTTCGGTTTCTCACATACCTACAGGCGATTTAAAACTTACTACGTCAATAGGTGTCAATACGAAGGTTTGATTTGATAATTTCGAATAAATTGAGCATTGGGTAGATTGTTATAAATAAATAAATAATTTATTCGTAATATTCCAATGAGTATTTATTATTACTCATTCTTTTTGGCAAACGAAAAGAACGAAAGAATGCAATCAGTATCTTACAATCTAATAATTTTCCCCTGGAGATTATCGGAAGTATGTTAAAACAGGATGGTTCAATGCGTTATAATAATGATTCGAATAAAAAGTCATGGATTGGTACTGCAGTTTTACCATACCTTCATGGTACAACAGAGAATCTTAAAAACAACACAGAATTAACGTATATTACAAAACAACAAACACATTTCGAAATACTTTAGTTCGCTAAAAAGAAAAAATCCCTTTCATATCAACACAGAACTGCGTCTACAAATTAAGTTGTATCGACTGTGGCGTCTTCTGTGTTGGAGAGTCATCTCGTTTCTACCAGAAAATGTAACCGTATGTGCAGTGCCTTTTCATGTTGGCATAATCCCTGTTGACAGTTCGTTGTGAGCATGAATGTATGGATGCATACATTTATGCATACATACAGATATACGTAAAAACACTTATCATCATACTATTAAGTAAGAAAACATGATTCATTGTTAATTTGAAATTAAAACGTTCAGGCCTTCATGTTCTGCGTATAACATTTATTTTTCATCAAGAATATATATATTCTTGACAAACAGTTCAGTAAATTTAATCTTTTTTATTGCATTGGATATTCAAAAATGCAATACAAGAGCAGACTATTTCTTCAGATTATCGATTACAGCTTTTCACTAGCCGAATCTGTCATAATCCCAAAAAAGCTACGTCTAGTAGTGTTTCATTTATCCTATGCAGAACATCCTGGAATAAGTCGCATGAAAGTGACAGCATGAAGTGTGTATACTGGTCGTACGTAAACATACAACTGGAGCAGCTATCTCGTTCATATAACAAATGGGGGTTACCAACGAAAGTACAACGGGAAACAGCTGCAATCATGTTCAATATCAGTAACCGTGGCAGCGTATGCATATGGACTTTGCTGATCCACGTCATGGACAAATTTACCTTCTGGTTGTTGACACATATAGCAGGTGGGCAGAAATTTTTCTCATGGAACATCGAACTTCAGGCTGAACAGTTAGAAAACTACATCGACTATTCAGTCGTTTCGGGGTTCCACCAGCATTATCCATCCAACTGTCCTAGAAAATTCTTTCCAGTTGCTATCCATCCTTTTCATGTCTGCTTTCAATTTTCAACGTAGTGTGTTCTCCCGTCTTCCTCACTTCCGTATCCCTTTATGATACTAGGTAAGCGCTTGAATCGTGATGCAGTTTGGTAGTTTCTGCAATATATGTCCCATCCACTTCCAAAGTGTTTTCTTAATTTCCTCATCAGCGGGAAGTTAGTTTGTTCTCTCCTACAGCAGACTGTTGCTGATGGTTTCTGGCCAACGGACATCGAATATCTTGCGTAGACAACTGTTGATAAATACTTTCACCTTGATGGTTGTGGTAGTTCTCCAAGTTTCAGATCCGTACAGTAGAATTATCTTGATGTTCGTATTGAAGATCCTCATTTTGACATTTACTTAGTTGTTTTGCGTCCAATATGTTCATCAATTGTAGAAATGCTGTCCTTCTTTTGCCAATCCTCGCCTTTACGTCTGCATCCTATCCTTCTTGTGCAACGATGACGCTTCCGTATCATCTTACCAGATAACCCTGAAGGTTTTCAGGTCAAAAATTGATAAGAAAAGGTTAGATGACCAAAGGCAGTTTTGAAATCTGACCACATAGACTCCTTAAGATTATCCTAGGGTGGGAGAAGCATCGTGATCTTCTTTTAAGTAGCTCTCTTATTCATGACAATACCGACGTCAGAGTACTACATGATATATCTCTTGAAGATAGAATAAACAGGGGAATGGCACTAGCTGAACTAAAAACCCGTCCACAAAAAGGTGAGGAAAATCTCCAATATGCTCATTTTGCGAAACGTGCATCTGGTTGCGAGAAAACACCTATGGGTGAATCTGTGTGAAGATAAACCTTTGACTGTTGGCATGCTGAACACTATCTAACCCATTTGTGTACATTTTTCTGTAAATTCGGCCATATATATCCGGCATTGATTAGTTAAGTTTAAGCTTTTGCGCCAGAATGAAAGTTATTGTATATCAGCTTTTCCATATTTTTGGGAACGAAAGGTCGCGGCATTGCTTAAGTCGTGTCACAGTTAATTAGAATACCATCGTTAGGTGATGGTAACTGTTTCAGATTAAGACTTGAATTGTTTGTTTTAAGTAGGTTTTGTAATTCTAGATCCTGCTCTTGTTCGCGTCTCAAAGTCTCGAAGTTTACTGTAGACTGCTGTAGCATGTTCAGTTCTAGTCTAGATAAGGCATCTGCCGCCTGATTGTCCTGACCTTTGACATGTCGGATATCTCTTGTGAACTGCGATATATCGTCAAGGTGTCGGACTGTTAGAGACGTTAGATCCCCAGAACTCAATTGGGACAGGACCTAATTTTGTAATTTTAATAAGAAAATTTGGATTTCTTCGTTTTCGCTCCAAAGACACTCTTGTCACCTTCATGTATTTCTCACTGGGAGATATCTTAAATTCTATTGGTCCGTTTCGTCTTTTGATATGCTATTTGTAACTCTCCCCAAGGATGGTTTTGTACTGTTTATATATACGTTTTGAATTGCGTTTGTTATCGCCCATTTCTGGCTTTTTGCAGAATATAATTCCCCATTTCAAGCTTGGACTTCTCCCTCTAGTTAGCGGGGCTGGGACGCATAAATGGATAGCTTACTGGGCTTTGGTCACCGAGTCTTGTTCTCGTTCACAGATTAAGTGAACTCGTGATGGCTTCAACCCTAGCACGGGCTT